CCCCCCCCCCCCCCCCCCCCCAGTCTGCCTCTGAGGACTGGGTGGGGGCGCCAGGTGCAGTACCTGATACTGCCCCCCAACCTAGTTACACTGATCGGGTAGGGGAGGCCTGTGTCCTGGACCCTGGGGCTACCCCATGCTGGATCCCTATGCTCAGCTGAGCCTACAGATCTGTCATAGGTCAGGCCGAACATGCCACACGTTCCATTTAAGGCATGATACAAATGCATTTGCTATATTATTATGCCATAATTGGCTTTAACACAGGGGTGGGCAGAATGAGGCACGCAGGCCAGATGCAGCCTACCAGGCCATTTTATCAGTCCCGCGGGGCCCCTAAAAAATTTAGAAAATGAATATTTGTCTGCCCCTGGCTGCCTGTCATCCAGCTCTCAATGGCTCACCAAAACTCAGTAAGCGGCCCTCCGCCCAAAATAATTGTCCGCCCCTGCTTTAACATGTAGCAAGGTTACTGTTTATGGCATGATTAACATTTTAATCATACCTTAATTGTAACGTATGTCAGGGCCAGGGATCCTGATGGATGAGAAGTGAGATTTACAAAAATGCCTAAGCAGGCGGATACATAACTCTATCCAAATCAATGGGAATTAGGTGTCTTATCTGCCTTGGCACTTCTGTACATCTCAGTAGGCACCTATCTACATATTCAAGTACCGAAATATGATACAGCTGGCTTTAGGATCCTTAGACTCTAGAGGGCCTTGTGGTGCTGGTGGTGCTAGTACCACGTTATGTTGCTACCTTAAAGTAGCCATGAGTAGAGAGAAGTACTGGAGTAGGAGAGCATGGATTTCATACCCATTGCAGTTCTTATGACAATATCTGGCATCCCTAAGAGAGGTGAAACAGAATTGTGCCTCCTTTCACTTGGGAAGGCAACTCACTGATTTTCTTTTTGGTGCCATTGTGTTTCTTTGACTCACCCATTCGCAGATTTGCAGATTTATGCAGTGACTCCCATCCCAGAAAGTATAGACGTGCTGCAAATGGACCGAGTCCCTGATCGCATAAAGAGCTTTTATCGTGTTAATAATATCAGGAAATTCCGCTATGATAGGCCTTTTCACAAAGGCCCAAAGGACAAGGAGAATGAATTTAAGGTGGGTGGGGTTGGTCATGGTACGTAAGTGTTAATTTCTCCAGGGCAGTAACATTCTTCCTAATTCTATATTGACACAGCACCTCACAAGATCCTAATTCCATGGCTCAAGGTATGAAGCAATGGGACTTGCTTTGCTTATTGACATATAATTACTCAGAGAGTTAGCTTGGCTCCCAGCTTATCGATAGGAGAACAGGGGAGCTGAGCTTTAGTGACTAGTAGGCAAGTTTAACACACTTCTATAAAGCATACTGAGAGTTGGCAGTGGGGGTGAAGGAGGAGAGGGGGATATTGCAACCTTCAGTTTCATGCTACAATCCTTTTTTTAAAACATAATACCTGCTCAGGAGATCTATACAGTCTCAGTTGAAGCCGGGTGGGGGTAACTGCAGAAGACATTGGTAAGCGTGAGATTTTGATTCACCATGTTCTTCATCTTCTGTATTATTTTTCTCAGAGCTTGTGGATTGAACGTACCACTCTGACCCTGACTCACAGTTTACCTGGGATCTCTCGGTGGTTTGAAGTGGAGAGGAGAGAGCTGGTAATATTCATTATATTTCTAACTGCAATTTGAATGGCTAATTTCTTCAAGACATAAGATAGGCAACCTAAAGGCTCTTGGCTGGGGTCTTGCAGTTGAAAAATTCACGTTTCATTGGCAGATGTTGAGTTTATTCCTTTCTCATAGTTTCTCTAGCTGAAGCAGTTGCTAAACATAGCCAGAGAAGTAATGTAAAGGGGATGGAACAGTCAGATGAAGTAGGTGCCAATATAGGGGGATGACGAATCCTGGTGCCATTTCCCATCAGTCATTTGAAGATGCAATAGCTATTGTAGTTGCTAACTAAGCTGAGTGTATGGTTAGAGGATCTGCCCAATGCTTCCCAACAGTGAAATGTTTGTGAAAAGCTGGCTATGTGGCTAGCTACTTTGTGAATCCCCCAAAATCCCAAGAGTGCTTATCAAATAATAGTGGGGATTCATTTCATAGCAAGGAAAGGACTATATTAGCACTAAAGTGCTCATGGCATTTATTACTTTGTAGGTTGAAGTAAGCCCTTTGGAAAATGCCATTCAAGTTGTTGAGAACAAAAATCAGGAGTTGAGGACATTGATCAGCCAGTATCAGCACAAACAAATGCATGGGAACATTAACCTGCTCAGCATGTGCCTGAATGGAGTGATTGATGCTGCTGTGAATGGTGGCATAGCACGGTACCAGGAGGTAAGTCAGAATTGTTCCTCTGAACTTAGTATCAACCTCTTAAAAACTATTTCTCGCTAGCATTTCCCCTACTGTACAGAAGAGAAAGTGACTAAGAAACATGTCAGATAGAAAAAAATATTCATATATACTCAGATTTCATCAACCTGATCCCATGTTGCATAGTGAAGCTTCATATTTTGTTGTTTTACTTTGGCTTTGGGATGTATTGTATTTACTCAAATATAAGACAACTCCCTGACAGTTGATTCTGTATATGGAAAATTTATAAATTTGATATAATTTTCCAGGTGTAGAATCTTATTATTGAAGTTTACCTTCTTCCCACTGGTACAGTAGAGAAAATAAATCTGGGGGCTCAGGCAGCCCCCTTGGCCACTGCCCCCCAACTTCTTCCCCACCTCCTTACTGTCAGATCCTCCTCTACCTGAGCACATGGAAATAAGAGCAAATTTGAAAACCCTGACCTTGAAATAAACATACCAGTAGTAATTTGCATATAGTACAAAAAGGTAAAATGCATCAATTGTGGATGAACTAAGTCTGTGGTTACAAAGACTTAGTTCATCCAGAATTGATGCATTTTACCTTTTTTTTTTAAACTGCTGCAGATTTTATCGAGGTACTTCATAAACACTCTTAAATAGAACCATTGGTACCTACTTATCTATAGTACAAACTATTTTTTTGTCTTTTCAAGGCTAAATCAGTTCCAAATTCAGTTGAGTAAAGCCCAATAGTCAAGTTCCAAAATTTAACTGAGCAGAACTCAGTTGTCAAGTCTGTGTGGCTCTACCACCAGGCAAGTATCCTCCCTCCCAAATCCAAGCAGGTGTCCTATGTGAAAGCCCCAGACCTGAAGGCCTTTGTATTCAGATGTCCTCTGCCTCATTTGATCTTTTGGCTAGGGGCAAGTAAAAGCAGGGGGCATCTGAACTCCAAGGCCTCCGAGCTTGAGGCTTGCACATAGGATGCCTGCCATGGATTTGGGAGTATGTAAAGCCCCAGGCTGAAGAGGCTGGGAGTTAGGATACTTACTGACGGTAGTGCCACACGAACTTGAATGATTGATCTCTGTTCAGATGATAGAATTTGGAACTGATTTGGCCTGATACATGACATTTAAAAAAAAAAGAAATCCAAATTTTTTAATTTTTTTGGGGGGCGGGGAGAGAAGGCAGGAGCGGGGTGGGCTGTCAGAGCTTGCTCCAGCCTCTTCAAGTGCTGGCCTTGTATTGTAGTACCTCTAGGCCCAGTGCTCATTCCCTCCTGGGGGAACAACTGCCCACTTTTTTAAGAGGCACACAAAAAAAAGGTTCCCATCAGCACGTTTGTTCAATATGGACCACATGTTTTATAGTCATGCTCAGTGTCGGCTGCATTTAATGAGCTGCATAGTTGGTTTTCATTAGATAGTGTATTTGATAAGGTTTCCTTATATATGAATGTAAGACGAGGGGCTTGTCTTGTATTCTTTTTAAATATGGTTTAAATGTCTTCTGAAGGGAAGTTGCTGACTGATGCTTCTGAAAAATTGTCTTTTCTTGCCAACTTCCAATGTAGTCTTAGCCCTACAGGCAGTAGCATAACTTGGGGGTAGGTGGCTGGGGCATCAGCCCTGGGTGCCAGTTCAGAAGGGACACCATTATGGAGCCTCTAGCGAGCCTGCACCGTTACCGCTGCCTGTGTGGTTGTGTCTGGGCAGCAACAGCAGCAGCAGCCCTTGCCACTTCTAAAGTCTGTGCAAGGAAGTAAACATTCCTGTTGCCAAGCCCCAGGTGCCAACATTTAAAGTTACGCCTCTGCCTACAGGAAACCGATATGCTATTTCCTTGGTCTGGAGTTATTTAAAGATGCACATTAGGAAAAGGAGATTTAGGGACACTTGCCACATGATGATGATGATGGGCCATATATCTAGGTCATGTATGCCCTGCAGAGAAGCACAGAAAATGCTCGTCATCCTTTATATTATTTACTACTTCAGTCACTTGTTTCCTACAGCTCCTTGACATAATTGAGTGAAACCTATATAAAATTCCAGTAATGGGCTGAGCAGAGGCATAGTGGTATTACTCTGCACTGTCTTGTGGGGAGATTTAATTGGCTCCTTGATCCACTGGGGTTGAGAGGGCATACTGTATAATATTTAACTGTGGCCGCTTTGACTAATTGAGCAGGAGAATTATCTGGAGAGTTAAAACCATACTAATATAGTCCCAGAATACTAAAAGAGATCAATAAAATGCAATTCCTACTGCTTGCCTAATATAAATGCATCCCCTAGGATTTTTGTCCCTTTTCTGCTCCCTTTGTGACATACAAGCATAATGAAATGTTTCCTAATAAGCAGATTTTTCTTTCTCCCACAGGCCTTTTTCGATAAAGATTATATCACCAAGCACCCTGGAGATGCAGAGAAAATCACACAGCTCAAGGAGCTCATGCAGGAACAGGTACTGCTGTGCTTTCAGAGAGGAAGGAATAATTCTGTGGTAGTACTTGGATTTCTTAGCAATCAGTATAAATAATCTAGATTTAAATATTGCATTCAGAAGCACAGAAATGAAGTCTAAGAGGTGGGTAGTGCATTTAAAACAAAGGGAAAGGAGATGGCAAAGGTGTTAATACACTGTCCTTTAATTTTTCTAGACCTGAGTTGAAGCCTAATTAAGATCACAAAGTAATGTTTAGCTGTCTTAGTTTATTATCTAGAGGATTTCTTTCTACGTTACAAATCTACCGTTCATTTTGACATTGTAAGCAGTCTTTCCTCAGTAGTCTCAGTATAACCAAAGTCTGGACCAAGGTAGGTTTACAGAGCCGTATAGGAAAAGCTTATAGAGCACCAATTTATATTAATAACCATGCCTGTATCCAGTGTTCTTGCAGCCTTACTTCCCCAAACATAATGATCTCGCCATATTGAGCTAGTTTGGTTGTAATTCCATGCTCTGGAGGGGACAAAAATATGAAAGTCACATCACTGTTAAATGAAATATGCCATCTTAAAAATGTGCCCAAGCCTGAACAGGGGACTGTGACAGACATATTATGGCCACATCTAGACAAGCGCAGCCATGCAGTATGTGGCACCGCAGATGCATCTGTGGCACCACATACCACACATTCAGCTGTTCTCCAGACTGCAAGGGACAGCACGGGGGGGTGATCCCTGGATATCCAGGGGTCAAAAAAACCTGCACAAAAAAAAGCAGGGTGGTGTATGCGGGGGCAGTGCACACTGCTCAAAACTGGAGCCTGACCAGCTAGAGCCATACTCCAGCTGCTGACCAGGCTCTGAGTGACAGAATCATTGATGCTGCAGTCCCAGGAGGCCCCCAGGATTCCAGGAAAGGTTGCTGGGGGCAGCCCAGTTTCCTCTACCCCACCCAGGGTAACTTGCTTTGCATCAAAGGGCACATGGCAGAGGCATTCCCTGGGGACAACTAGCAGTGGTACAAGGTGTCCTGCTGCTTGTCCCCAGGGAAACAAATGTCCACGCTCATGTGGACATGGCTCGTGTGTCTTCATTATTAGCAAAAAGTCCCTTAATTTCTGTATCTCTGATTTCTTAACTGTAGAATAAGGATAATCATATACTTTAGGGTTACCGTACGTCCAGGTTTTCCCAGACATATCCTCTTTTTGAGTCCTCCAATCTCCATCTGTGCAGTTTTTTGAAATTTGAACAAATGCCTGGGTTTTTGCTTTGCTCTGCTGGTGGGAGCAGGGGGAGGGCGATTGGAGGCAGGGAGCACCACATGTGTCTGCACACACATACAGTATGCAGCCAGGCAGACAGGTGGAAGCAACCTTATCATCTGCATTCAGGAAAGTCTGGGGGGTGGGGGTTGGAGGCCCAGGGCCTTGGGACTGTCTGGCAGGTGGGGGGACAGGGGTATTTGGAGGGAATAGATGTCTGAGTGAGGCTGTGGCTGCAGCAGGGCAAGAGGGGCAGGAGAAAGTGCCTGCCCCACCAGTGGGGGAAGGGGCAGAGGGCCCCTTTGAAGGCAGTGGGGAACTCTGTGGCCAGGCTGGCAGCACAGGGGCCGGTGCCCGTGCTCGCAGGGGTGGAGTGGCCAGGAGACACTGCCTGGGAAGGAGGGGGAAGGGGAAGGGAAAGGGAAGCATGGCCAGGCCACCTGGCACAGTGTGGGAGCCCCAGCCCAGGGTGAGGGATGCCACAGGCCTCCCCTCTTCTTTCCTCCAGCCCACACTGGGGCTGGACTCATTCCGCTGCCGTCCTCGTGAATTGGACTTACCGCACTCTGACTTGGTTGAGACGGGGGCAGCTGGAGCCCCCTCCAGCAGGGCTGGAATGAACAGGTGGGCTGCAGATCAGGAGTGAGGAGCACTGTCAGGGGTGGGGGGGCTGTGGCTTGGGAGTGAGGGCACAGGAGGGGTGGGGGGCTTGTGGTTTGGGACTGCAGGGCACTGGCATGACTGTGAGGGCTGCAAGTCAGGAGTGAGGAACAGTGGCAGGATCAGTTGGGACTGAGGGTCACTAGCATAGCCTGGGGGAGCAAGGGACTGTGGTTTGGGAGTGAGGGGCAGCAGTAGGGACAGGGGGCTGTAGGTTGGAAGTGAAGTGTCCCCCTGACAGGTGTCCTTTTTTTTAGACCTGGAAATGTGGTAACCCTACTTATCCCAGTATTCAAAGCGGAGGGTTGGAAGATCAATTATCTATTGTTTGTCTAGTGTTTGGATAATGAAAGTACTAAATACTACTACTATTATTATCATTACTACTACTTCGGTGGACTTTCTTCTGAGCATCCATGTAATCTTAGTCAATTACTGGCATTATATTTATGTCCTTTATAAACAAATAATGAGCAACACAGAGAGGACAGTTGTGAGTATACAAACAGTTCTTCACCACTCAGATTCATGGTAGGAAATCCTTCTGAAAACTTTCATTAACAACTTTGATTCCTTGTCTGACACTAGATGGGGGGGAAGTATTTTCTTATGTCTGTGGGAAGGCTTAACAGGTTTTCCCTGGAGAATGAATAAACTTGGTCATTTTTACTGTTATTTCTTGCAAATGTAAATCTAACTTCTGATATCATAAATGTGTTTCTCTCACACTTTAAAATACTTGTTAAAGTAACAAATGCTTGTCAGATATCAGCGTGGTAATTTCAGCAGTCTTGCAAATGAGCAATGGAATGTTTTACAAAGATGCTTTGTTCAGTGACTCATTTAGAGGACATAATCATGATAGTGTCTCCTGGACTGAATGTAGATTTTTTTGCATCATGATGTTATGATTTCTTTTTACTAGGTTCATGTCCTAGGAGTGGGTCTGGCAGTACATGAGAAGTTTGTACACCCAGAGATGCGTCCCCTGCATAAAAAATTAATTGACCAGTTCCAGATGATGCGATCTAGTCTGTATCATGTAAGCTGAAACCCATCCTTTTTAAAAATTTTGAGAAATCTAGAGCCATGATCAGAACTTGTTCAGTTGCAATAAAGTGCACACAAGAACTGAGCAAAGCAACATAGACATAGGACAAACTCATACAACAACTGCTTTGGTTTCTTAGGCAAAGTTTGTGAACTGAGTATTTAATTCATACTGTGCTATTTTTAGTTTTTAAAGGTCCCTGTCACCTAATGTGCATCAATGCTGAACTGACAAAAGATCTGAAAAGCTAAATTCCAAGGCACTGTGTTATCATGCAGTACTGTGCAGCAGAGGAAAGAAGATGACTAAAGAGTACTAGATACCCATCCCCCACAACACAGTTCCTGTAATTTCAGAGCAGGATAGCTCGGCCCACCAAATATATGTGCTGCTGTACAATTCCTTTGTTCTGGAGTCATGTGTATGCAGTTATATTGCATGTTCTTCAGCACGTGTCAGCCGGATGAGTGGCTGGACAGACGTACCTACTGGAAGAGGCAATGTATAGGCCAACATGGTTGTTGGATGTGCCTCCTCATCTTCTTTAGAATGCTAAGAAGTCCTGTCTTGATGTCTGTGTCCCCACTCTTATCAGAAAGCAGAAGATTGGTCTCATAGTCAGAATAACTGTGCCTACCTTAAGCTTTTTATCCTGAAATGTCCCACTATCAGTTCAGCTCCAGCAGATCCACAATAGAAAGAGAACAAAGGTAGACAAGTGGCTGATGTTTTAGCACCACATCAAATAAATCTTCTCAAAGCAAATATCCACCAGCCACCCCTTCATACATGAGCATCACATTTTATATGTGCCTTTATACTATTACAAAGAAAGAACAAATAGGACCTTCCATTAAAAATGTGCTTTAGGAAAATTCTCTGTGTGGTTCCCAGTGTTGAAATAGTGAGGTCTATTTAGTGCATTGTTTAAACAAGTGTTCAGGATTTGATTTGCCTTTAATTTTGTTGGGGGATTTAAAAACAGCTTGCCTTTTGGAACTGCCACTGAAGTCATTATTTTGTTAGTGTGTTTGCCACTCAGCTGTCCACGGCGAGGGGAGAGATGTCCTTTTTATGTAATTACCACTTGTTAAAATTGGCTAATGCTGGGAAGCCATGGTTATTTAAAGTGATAGACTAAAACTTAGCTTTGGTAGCACATAGTAAATAGGCTTATGAAACTAATGTGTTGTGACCTTAGAGTTTCATGATCAGCACTTCTTTTTGAATCACTGCCAATTAATTCAAAAGCTTAATCAGATGTTAATTATATAAAAAAGCAAACTAAGCTAAGTCTTAGTGACTAATGTCTTCAGATCTGGCTGCAACTGTAGAACCAAACAGAAAGCATTAGGAAGCTTAACATTGTATAAGAGCAATGCAACTTTCTTTTCTTTTCTTTTCTTTTCTTTCCTTTTTTTTTCAGGAAATCTGATCAATTATTACTCGAGCGTTGTTCTTCTTTTGGCCAATTTATCTGCTTATATTCCTCTGAATCCTCTACAGTGAGAGGCACATCACTGAAAAGTCACCATTTTTTGGGGTGGAGAGGGGAGGGGACTACAGCATCCATAGAACAATCATTACCTTTATTCCAACTGTTGACTATCCAGTTAATGTTTACTTCATATCAGTGTGATGACAGGACATATTTTTTCCACTTCTTAGATTAAATACTGTATTTTCTGCATGTCACATGCTCCCCAAATAAAAGAAGTACTTTGTTTTGGGGAAGGCAGAATGAAGAAAAAGGATTTTTCCAACTCACTCACCATCCCTTTTCTACTCAGACAAAAGCTAGTTTTAATACTTTTACAGCTGAATTGTCAGCAGCTCTTGAATATTCATCCAAAAGCCAAAATTGTAGCTGTTGCTGAAGACTCAACTCTATAGCTATATCTAGGAAATAGGAGGTGAGAGACCAGGAGAAGCTAATAGCAAAATTTGAACAGAGGATAGGATCTCTGTGAGTGACATCTTTTATTGGACCAACTGCATATGTAAGATAAACTTTTTAAAGACTTGCTTTTAGATGCAGTGCATTCTTCTTCAGATCAAAGGATAGCTTAATTAGTGGAACATCAAGGGTATTAGAGGGTCATTAACACCTTCAAAGTGAAGATCAATTAACAGGAAGTAGATAATAATGAGCCATGAAGCCAGTTGACTCCCTCAGCAATGCCTGAACAGAAATGCCACTGCTGCCACTGGCCAATTAGTTTTAAACTTGGCATGGAGCAGGAATCAAAGCACCACTCCCCCCACCCTCAGATCTGCCTCTGCTGAACTCTGCCTCTCCCTCCATACAGCTACTGAAGGAAAGCAAAAGAAAAAAGTCAGCAGCCATCTTACAGCATGTTCATGCTTCTATTCTGGGCAAAAAATTACCTTCCTCACTTAAGAAATGCAACACAATTTTGGAAAGTTAATTTGGGGGGGTGTAGTATGCGAGTAAATATGGTATATAGGTACTTCAGCAGACATCTTAGAGTAGTCATTGACTCCACTCTCACTAAGAGCCATATCCACCTGTTCCTTTATGCTCTTTTATGCTATAATACTCTAGGTCAGCTACTTGAGATGCTTGTGTCCAGTAGGTCTGAGGACATGGGAGAACACTCATCCATTTAGAGAGTACTCAAAAGAGCTTTTGACTTGCTTGCAGACATTTTCAAAAATAGAGACAAGAGTACCTTTGAAAGAATTAAAAAGTGTCTTAAATTATGCACAGCAGTGCACAGTAATGTTTTACATTATATGCCGCAAAGCAATTCCACACTTTTTGAAAGTTATCTTCCAACTTGAAGGCTTTGTCTTTTATTCCTACAAGTTAATACTGTGTAAGGATAACCTCTAGAATACTGAAATACTTGTGGCTCAGGGCTGCCTTTCTCTTTAATATGGAGATATCATGCATGTAGACTGCAGTAGACCTGTGCGAAGCGGCTAGTATTCGCTTCGGATTTGGGGGACAATGATTTGACTAACTGATTTGAATCACTGTCCCAATTCAATTCGGCCAAATCTCTGAACCAGCCAGGCCCACTGCCCGCCCCAGCTCCTGGCTCTTTGAAAAAAAAAAAGCCCTGAATCTCCTCTGAATCGAATCACCACCCGAAGCTTTGCATAGCTCTAGACTGCACCTCCTGGCATCTTTGTACAGGTGGTATGGCTAAAATGCATGCTGGGATATGTATTCTTTTCAATTTGTATAGCCAAAAAGTAAAGGCATCTCCAGTGTGGTCCATTCTATGCCTAAACTTCCAGCAAGTAGCTTGGAAGTTGTCATTAGGAATAAGCTAATGAGGGTCAGAGTGCTGCTGCTGAAGTCTATTAAGATAATTACAGAAACATTACAGCTATGTGGAGAACACAAACACAGAATATACTAAAAATCTTCTGACAACAAAAGGGAAAACTCATTCTACTTTTCCCATGATCCATCCTACATTTAGCCAAAATTTCTGAAGGCGTTAAATGATTTTGTGTTTCCTATGTAGGAGTTGCCTGGTTTGGATAAACTGAGTCCAGCCTGTTCTGGTACCAGTACCCCACGCAGCAATGTTCTGGTGTCACATGGCCCTATGAGCCCAGAGAGCATGAAGCTGGTACATCGACACAGGTACCCTTTTTTTCTGCTGTAATCTCTGGGATGTCTACACAGTTTAAGAAAGTTTTAACTGTCCTATTCTGCATTGACCTGGATTCTGAAAACTCCAGAGAACTGAAGCAGAGACAGACATAGATCCAAAAGAGCCTAATCTCATTGTTGACCAGTAGTATTTTGGAGGCAGCAAAGTTGACTGCACGAAAGTGTCCCTCATGTTTGTCTGTAATAACCGATACCAGATTTTTTTTCCTTCTTTGAAAAGATTTAAAGATCCACAAAGCTACTCCACTGCAGTATTTATACATACAGATAGTATACATCCATAACTGCCAGTTAGAGTCTTCTCAGATCCCCAGATTTATGACTTAAGACGCCTGAATTTTTAATGCTTTGTTGTGCAAATACGGAATGGGTAACCTATGTGGTTATGTAAGACCCACTCTAGGCCCACCATAAAAACAAAGTCTTGTTCCTCATTTTTAGTAAATCATTAGGGGTCAAAAATAGTGGTAGAATCAACATAAAAAACTGAAGTGCTATTTAACTGCAGTAGATGGAGCACAAACACAAGAATGTTACAGAAGTACTAAAAATCTCAACTGCTGTTCTTTGTTCCTGTCAAGGAGTGAGTCCATATAGATGACTTGAAAGTTTTGTTCAGCATACTGTATCAGAGGCTTGCTCTCTTGTGCATGAATTCAAGATGGTATTGTTAAGTTGTGATAAAATTCTGCAGGTCTGCCACTCTTTCAAAGCGATGGCGCCATGTAATTGATAAGTAGTTGTTCTTAAAAGTCATCAACTTGTAAAAGACTTCCCAGCCCTGAAGTAAATTAGAAAGGTTTTATTTTGTATATTATATTTGTGTGTGTCAGAGGGAGACAGAAATGTAACAAAATAATATTACATCAGAAGGGAGCAAAGTGCAGCCTGCAAGCCATTTGGACTGTGTCATTCTACAACCAACTTTTGTGTGGAAAGTATCAACACTGCAGGGAATGTTCCATCTTAATAGCTATTGCCTGGATCCTAAAGAAACATTCTGGGCTTGTCACCACAGTCGTACCTTGGCATTAAAGATTAGAGTGGCTTCAGTCTGCTCTGTTTTAAAGAAATCAGGTGCAGCAATCAAATGCCTAGTAAGATGCCAACTTGCCCCTTGATTGGTGATGTTTGAACATTTATATTGTGTCAGGCTAACTAAAATGTTATAGTATTGGTTTCTTGCTGTTGTTGCTAGGGCAGTGTAGGCAGGTGTGAAGATTTGGGTAAACATATCTGGGAGTGATTTTCAAAGGGGTACTAACTTCTGAAGCTCCCACTGAAGTTGATGGGAACAGCAGGTAACTAGGAATCATTAATTAAAGATAAACTTCAGAAAAGTAATGTTGCCTAACCTTTGCACCTTTTTGTGTCTGTTTTTGTTTTAGTCCATTGAATTTGCTGGGTTCAGTCCGACACTCGTCATCCTCTCTTTCTTCCCATACATCCAGTGAAACAGGAAACCTGGTTATTCTCACAGACAGTTCTGTGGGGGAGGCTGCTGAAGATATGTATCACATGCAGGTACAGCTGCAGTACAGCATTGCGGAGCTGTTGCTCAGACTGGAATTTAACATGGATTGTAGGCTGTATTTAGAACATGGTTCATTTACGTGTATAATAGGTACATGTAGATCTGTTCTGTCTTAGATTTACCCACAGCTATGGATTGCATAGACAGAGCAATATTCCTGTAGAGTCCAAGCTCATGCATAGATTAGTGTCTCCTAAACTTTGATAGAGGTGCCATGGAAGGAAAGATGGCAAACTGACTCTGTACCAAGATGCATGTGATTAACATTTCTGTAGGTGTACCTTGAAGGTAGCTAGTTTTGCTTAAGAACAGGAAAAGGTATAAATACATTTTAAAAAACAGTATGTTTAGAAGTGAACAGGCAAAGTATTTTTGCCCAATTTAACATACTGTATCCCTGTCTTATTCAGTAATTACTCTCTCAATCCATGCCAGCAGATAGATGCTAAAATAGGTCCCACAGCCCAATAATTATTATTACTGTATTTAACTGTAACTATTTCCTAGACAGAGGTCACATGGCCTACGTGTCGGCTGACCTGAGACAGGTGAATATCTAATGCACCAGGCCACTCTGTTCTCTCTTTGCTGATTTCTTTGCCTTCTGCAGCTTGTTTACCCTAACTCCAGGTACCAAGGCTCAGTCACCAACGTCTCTGTTTTATCCTCGTCCCAGGCCAGCCCTTCCACCTCAAGCCTGAGCTCTACTCACTCTGCACCATCCCAGATGATTAACTCTGCTCCTCCCAGTGCACGAGGTAAGAATGAAGGGACTTTGAGCCAAAAGTTAGCAGGGACACAAAGTGGCCCTGACTATTTTCCTAGCAGCTTGATTATGCAGAATATTGAGATGCTTTTTTATATTGATATATTCTGTAATTTCATGAATGCTCTTTTGGAGTTAAGGACTGTTTCGTCAAGTGACTTCCTCTGACATTTTGTTTAGCCCCAAAATGTTGCCAGTCATCTTTTCAGCAAGTCTGGGTGGAATATATTTCTGGTACATGCTGGCTCTTGCCCACTGAACAGTGTAATGGTCTCTAATACATTTGCAAATAATTGAGCCAACCACTTGCATCACAGACATTGTATGAAAATCTAGGATGCCACAATACCCTGTTGTAAATAATCTTCTGAAGAGCATGAATAATTCTTTGCTACAGCACCTGAAAGAAGTAGAAGATCAGAACAAACATTCTTGTGTCTTTAAAGAAATTAAACTATGGTATTGAAGTTCATGTACATATACAAATGAAAGTGGAAAGGGCTTGGGAAAAGGTATAACAGAATTAAAGAGGGACTTAACTGTAGGTGGAAAAAGGGGAAAAGAAGAAATTGGTTGACACCTACTGCCTTATATTCCATTTGGTGTAGAAGTAGCTGAGCTTGGTCCAGTGAATCTTCTTTTTCCCAAGTATCAGACATACAACAGTGCCACTCTGTGGCTGCTATCAGAGCCCTGCATCTTAGCAACATTCACTTGGGTTTCTCCTTTCCTTTTCCTTGAGAATTCATATGCAGATCCACCTTCCTGTACAGAGCATCCACAAGTTTTTACAGCAAACCTACAGGATGCAAACTGTAGAGGATATTGCTCAGATCTTGCCCCTCTACCCCACATAATGGAACTACATTATTTCTTTATAGCCAGAAGACTTCGCAGGCAGGAGCAGAGTTAGGATTTGCTTCCTATCGACTAGAATAAGAGCTTCCTGTTTGTCAATCCAGCCTGTTTTTTCTATTTCCTCTTGCAATCATAATTAACAGTCAATTGCCATGTCATGGATGCAGCTGCATGATTTAATTGAAGGGGGTCGGGTGGAACTGGAAGGTGAGGCGTAGGATCTTCTTTTCAGTACAGGCAGGTCTGTTAATTTTCAAGAACTGAAAGAAAAATTATGACAACCCAGATAAAGTAATACAATTAAGGTGGCATAGCAGAGAAAGGAAAAGGGAAAGGTTTGCTGATACTGTGGATTCAGGAAGATTTGCTTCAGCTAGTTCTAGCAGCATGTAACATCTGAATCTTTTGGGATGGCAGATTTGGGTTTGCAGCAGTTTAAATGAGTTTTTGCTTTAGAAATTCAGTTGTCACAGCTGCAGACCTTGCCACTCCTTTTGAGCTGTCTGACTTCCCAGTATTACTGACTCCTTACCAACTCCTACCCCTCAGCTGTGGCTTCTGCTGTTGCCTGGAAACCAACATGATGAACAATATAAAAAGATGTCTGGTTGATGCATAAGTCAATAGCACCTCCAATGGAGAAAAAGTAGATAACTCTAATGACTGCTAATTAGGGAACAGCAAGAGAAATCATAATTTAAAAACTGTGTTGCTTGAAAAGATATTTAATTTACTTTATTACGCTTACTTAAATATTCTGATGCTTTTAAGATAAAGCAGTTCTTCCCTGCAGTTCTGTCCATTTTCAGGTAGGCAAAAAGTAGGATTTACTTCTGCAGTCAGACCTGCTTATTATGAAATTATGTTTGTAATAAGGTAGAACAGAAGTCCCAGATCTTTTCCAAGCTTCACAGTGTGCAAATTATTAATTTGGTTATTGTGAAACCGCCATTTAAAATGCAGTTGTTCATCAAGAAATAAGAAAATTTCACATTTATAGTTCTACTGTGTTAACATGACTTTGGGGCTTTTGGGTGGTTTTTTTGGTTTGGTGATTTTTTTTGGTTTTGGTTTTTAATTGGGTGACTTTGATGCTTGTGAAAATGAGAAACCAATGGCTCTGGCTAGAGCAAGTTCACAGCTCTGTCAATGCACCTCTATCCTTTTTATATTTATTTATATTCTTTTTAATTTAGTGCTGGTGAAAGGTGCTGGATTGACACCACTGGAGGCTGAAGCCCTCTATTTATCCACAGAACAGATACAGCATGGGCGGCAGCAGTACAAGCTTCCCCACACTGCCCCCACCAATGTGCCTCATCTCTGTCCTGGAGGGACCACCTCTAGAGGTGAGAGGATAGTTCAGTCTCCATGACCCATCCAGTCCTTGGCCTTTCTGCTGAGACTACTAACACAGTTACCAGTTGTGGTGCTACATATAAACACTCATCAGTCAGGAAGTATGCTAAGGTGTCCAACTCGCTTCACATGGACCTTCTAGCATGTATCAAACTTGGTAACTATTTTGCCACCTCTAGCCAGAGGTTGAACATTAGTTATTTCTAGTTCTTTTATTTATTAGATGTTAATAGCTTTCACCTGTGGGTTCGCACCTTAACGTGGAGGTGAAAGAGTATCCCTTTAGCCAAATCTTTGCACCATCTTATCTGTTTAGCTGCACCTCCTCCTGCAGCACCCTGAACAGAAGGGATCTTTGTGACCTGGATTAACTTCTAGAGTTTGTTCAGCTTGTATCATTCCAAATTTGTGGGATTTTGTGCTGTAAAAAGGTTGGGACATAACAGGAGCATACACATGTTCCCACTAGAGCAGGGGCAGGCAATTATTTGGCATGAACTTCTTGCGCTACATCCTGGAGGTTTGAAGTTG